GTAGTAGCGGTAGTAGTAGCAGTAGAAGCAGTAGTAGTAGTAGTAGTAGTAGTAGTAGTAGTACTAGTAGTAGTAGTAGTAGTAGTAGTAGTGGTAGTACGACTAATTACTGCTAGTAAAACTCCTAACATTTGCAGGAAGTTTGGGTTTAGGGTGAGGTTTGAGGGCGTCGAGTTTGGGTCCACAGATGGAGCCCTGAAGATTCGTGCGCGACAGGTGTCCTGCTTCCCGAAGAACAAGGAGCCGTAGGCTTGCACCAAAATGCCCTGCTGCTTGCAGTACTCCAGCAAGGGAAGCCGCTCCTAGTGCTTAGGAAGCACTAGGCTTTAGAATGTGGGGTTGAGTTTAGGGTTTAGGTTTACTTTGGGGTTTTAGAGTCGTTTTAAGGAAGCCGCTCCTGTTCACTTGATTGGACGTGTGGGCAACGTGCGAGACTTCAACTTGGGAAGTTTCAGAGACTATGGAGCTACAACAGGAAAGCCCAAATGGTAGGCGGCCGGACACCATGATCTCTGGCCCTGGAAGCCCTAAACCCCGAAACCCGTCGCCCTGATTTCGGGAATTAAGGGGTCCCAGTGGGTTGCTGTTCTGGAACTTAAACTAAGTTATTATAATAAGGAAACCCCATTATCTACCAAAGGTCCCCATTTTGGTAACTGCATAAAAAAAGGTTCCTTAACAGCAACCCAGATTGATGGGTTGGAAGTCTACTCATTGCGACCCTTAGAAGGGTAAAGGAAGTGGGGTAATTGGGGGACTATACTTCCTCAAGTAGGTCTTATTACAGGCCCTATTTACAAGTATCAAGGCCCAAGGCCCCCTACCCCCCTAAGAGGTTCTTATGGTCTACGGTTTCAGGAAGCAGGTTTTGGCGCACAAGCTTCGAGGCGACGAGTTCAAAGACGACGACTACTGTAGCAAACTTCAGCGAATGGGAGGGTTTCGGGTTTAGGGTTTAGGGCTTAGGGCTCTAACAACCCCACTCCAGAACCTGTGGCAAGGTCCCTTCGTACAAATACTCGGGCGCTTCTGCATCCTGTACATGTCTCTCCTGTATTTATTTTTTGTAGAATGACCGGGACTCTCAGAAACCCTTTGCGGAGCTTTTTGGGCTACTTTGTATGTCGCTGTGTATGCCCGTAACTCTAAAATAGCATCTAGAATCGAAATCCTGCCTCGTGAATCTAGAGCCACCTTGCTTTGTAATGTAGGGGTCTTAACGATTAAAATAGGGTTTTGGGGTATACTATACCATAGTTACAATAAGGAACCCCCAAAAAAGTACAGGCCCCTATATATAGTAACCCCAACAAAGAACCCGCCTGGTAGTTCATCGGATGCATCTCAAACTGGTTCACCGCAGGGGTAGCCCGGCCGTGGGACCGCAGAGCATCGAGGTGCGGGATGCCAAAGTTGGAAACTCCGATGGATCTGATCTTTCCTCACTTAGGAGCTCGCTCTCGCGCGATCTCTCTGTCCTGCCCCCTCGCTCATTCTCTCTCTCTCTCTCTCGCTCTGTCTCCTCTCTCTCTCTCTCGCATTCTCTATCTCTCTCTCGCTCTGTCTCATCTCTCGCTCTCTCTCTCGTTCTCGCTCTCTCTCTCTCTCTCTCTCCCTCTCCTCCCTCCCTCCCCTCCCTCCCCTCCCTCCCCTACCTCCCTCCCTCCCTCCCTTGTACCTTGTAGAACCCTGCGTTTGAACGAGTCACACTTCGAGAGACTAAGGCTTCGAGCTTTTGGGCATTGGTGAAACGAAGCAGCCCTCATCGTTGAATAAGGATTTTCGTCACATTATATCATTGCACTATTATAAACAGAGACTAGAAGGTGATGTCATTGCTACTTCAGAAGATCTCGATAAGGCACAACGCGCTTCACGGAAGTTGCATCGCGCAGAGACGATATTTGTATGTCGCATTCGGCTTATGACTTCGGGGATATGTAAGGCTCTAATTTGAGCTTAGAGATTTTGGGACTTGGGTCAGATAAGGGACCCGGCATTCGGGAGATAAGGCTTAAGAGAGAAGCTACATCGTGACCCTAAACCCTAAACCCGAAACCAGGTATAGGGATTAGGGTTTTCAAAGTCAGCGTCCCATCGCTTGTAGGTGGAGGAGGGCATCCCAGGTCTCCACAATCTTCCCGGTGTTCGGGGAATGGATAAGGTAGAGGTCCAGATACTCCAGCTTCAGCTTCCTGGGCTCGGGGTAGGGCTTAGGGTTTAGGGCTTAGAGGGGTTTATAGGGTTTTTAAGGTTTTTTGGGGTTTCGGGTTTAGGGCTTATAGGGCTTGCAGGGTTTATAGGGTTTCGGGCTTTCGGGTTTAGGGTTTATTTAGCCCACGCGGAAACAGATGCCAGAACACGCTGTGGCAGACACTACGAACTTAACCAGGCACAGCAGTCAAAAAGTCAAGAACAGCTGGGGCGGGCCAATTCTACTTGCCGTCGCCAAAACAGAACACGTTGAAGACAGTAATACAGGGGTCGCAATGATTAGACAAGGATCTTGCGGCACTGTGGTATAGCGATATTCGGAACCCTAACGAACGCTGTTGGTAATTCTTTCCGACCACTTATATGATATCCATTTCAGCAGTCTCTCAGAACTTAGCCGGCTATTGCAGCTGCAGCTTCTTCAGGCTCGCATCAAACGCCGCCAGGGCTGCATCGAATCCATGATCCGCATCCTTGGTCTGAGGGAGTTTGAGGGTCTTTGAGGCTTTGAGGGTTTCGGGACTAGCGCTTTGACTTTGGCGATCTTGAGCATTATAAGGCATATAAGGTGGTAGGCAGTGTTGGGTTTGGGGGCTTAAGCTCGGCAGATAAGCACATGACGATCCAAAACAAGGAAGTCATACCCAAACTCAACTTGCCAGGTCTAGCAAAGTGGGTCAGAAAGCCTACACCCTAAACCCTAAACCCTAAGTTTGATCAGAAGAAGCCAAAGATTTCCTGTTCGGTGACTGAGTATCCCACAGCTTCGTGGTGATGAAGAGCTCAGAACGTGGCAGACCCGAATCTGCGATGGCTTCCCCGACACTCTCCTCGTTACCTGGGGGTTTCAGAAAATAGGGGACCCTAATATAGTACTCTAAATAGTAGGATCCTTATTATAAGGACCACAAAATAAGGTACCCCCTTATATTCGGAAACTCCCACTTTGCTTGTAAGCAGAAAGCAATCAGAGTTTGGGGTGTTTTTCGGGTGAAGGTAAGCGAACCCAACGAAGGCCGTACTGAACTACTCAGACGAAGATGCCATAGACAGCGGCGGTGTCGATCATCCGGTAGCCTTCGCTTGGCTTTGGGAGTAAAGTGAAAGAGTAAAACCTCGTTTTGGTGATTTCTCGTTGCTCTGTATTCAACTTGGGATTCTGTAGGGGCTCGAAACCCTACGCACGAATCTGAACTCCTAGACAATCAAATCCTTAAGCCAATAAGTCCCAAGTGGGCCCTATAAACTAAGCCCTAAACCTTAAACCGTCTACCCTGGACCCCGTCGCACGAGCCTGTCTCCACCGCCCATTTCACAGCGTTGTAGCTCTCGGCCCCCGGCTGCGACATGTACACGCCTGGCCACCGCTGTCTCTTCGGTTTAGGTTCAGGGTTTTCTGGCATCCCTCTGGCGTTTTGCAGAGTTTCTGCAACTGCGCATTGCGCATCAGGGATTCAGTGTGAGTCTGACTACTAGTGCCGTTCCAATACAGCCTTAGGAATACAGCACTTCTTCACAAAAAAGTACGAAAACAAGTGAAAGCTGGGGCGGGGGACTTACACCCTCAACCCTAAACCCTAAGCCCAGGCCTTAAACCCTAAACCCTAAACCCTGAACCCTGGAATGCCTAGGCCCATGACCGGCATAGTGTGGCCATCCGAGAGCTTGAAGGCAGCCGTCGGAGAGAACCTGGGTTCTTCTGGTGTAACTTGGGTTTAGGGTTTAGGGCTTAGGGTTCAGGGTTTAGGGTTCAGGGTTTAGGGTTTAGGGCTTAGGGTTCAGGGTGGGTTTAGGGTGCAGGGTTTAGGGCTTAGGGTTCAGGATTTAGGGTTTAGGGCTCAGGGTTTAAATACCGGAACGCTATACTAAACTTACAAAAGTGTAATATTTCCTTGCTATCAGCACTATTGTCAGTACTACCAGTAACATTATCAGCATTACTATCAATAATCTTATCAGTACTGACTATTTAGCCGAATAATCAGAACTTTCGTAATGGTCTCGGCAATATTTTCAAGACCCTAAACCCTGAACCCTAAACCCTAAACCCTACAGCCTAGGAGCTTGTCTGGCAACGTGGCGAAAGGCGGCTCAGCCACGGCTCCCGTGGCCGAGGCCACCAGCAGAAGCCACAGCCCCATGGCGTGTGGCTGGGAGTTCCAAGCAAACGAAACACAACCCGCCGTCAGCTAGATTTAGGGTTTAGGGTTTTGGGTTCAAGACATATCAACTTAGTGAAGAGGAGACTGCTTAAACCTATAGCCTATAGTTTATCTTAGGCTGACTGCGCAACTCACAGGACTATTCTGGGCTTCATGAAAGGCCACCTGGCAGGGTCCCGGGAAGCAGCGTACCCCTTACAACTTAGCACCCCCACCCCTAAACATAAACCCGCCTACACTCTTTTTCTTGGCTCCGACGGCACGAGTTGCTCGTAGGCGGCAGGTGGATGCTTGCACATGTGTACCGGACACACTTGTCTTGACAAAGAGTCTGCAGACAAAACACAGCATTCTATCTGAAGGATCTTCAGGAACAAACCTAAGCAGTGCATTGAGAAATAACTCCAAGAGTAGGATGGGCAGTACCTGTGGCAGTAGCAGCAGGAGTAGCAGCAGCCGCACCCGGAGCAGGTGTAGGAGTAGGAGAAGGGGTAGGAGTAGGAGTAGGAGTAGGAAGAGGAGGAGGAGGAGTAAGTAGGAGTAGGAGTAGGAGCGGGAGTGGGAGTGGGAGTGGGAGCAGGAGTAGGAGTCTGAGAAGGGGTAGGAGTAGTAGATTAGCAATGGGAAGCATCAGCAGCAGCTGTTGCTGTTGCTTTTGTTATTGTTGTTGTTGTTGGTGCTGATGGTGGCAGTGGTGGTGGTGGTGGCGGCAGTGGCGGCAGTGCTAGTGCTGCTGTTTGCGACGATGGTTCTTGCGGCTACCGCCGCTGCTGCGTCTGTTCACGCTCTTATTGATCCTGACGTTCTTGCTGAGGCTGCGGCAGCTTGCTTTTACTGTTGCTGCTTTGGCTGGAGAATCCAAAACTCTACACCGAAGGGCACTTGCTTGATTGGAAAGCCCGACCATGAGGAACTGGCAACGTTAGAGTTAGAACACAATCGACCCCAAACTCTGTGCAGGCCTAGACAAGTGCTGGCCTCATCCAAGATCTTTTCCGCTTCTTGCGCTGCCTCTGACATGTTTGCTGTGCCAAAGCGATGTGTGAACTCGTCAGTGATCGGGGATCACATCTTCAACCGTTTGGGATTTACAAATCCGGGATTCGAGGCAAAACAAAGTTCCAACATCCCAAAGCCGCATCCCAGATGAACATGGAACTCCCACCCTAAGCCCAAAAGCAAAACCCTAAACTAAACCCTCAACTCCATTCAAAACCCTAAAACAGAAACCCTAAACCCTAAACCCTAAACCCTAAACCGTGCACATCAAGCAAAGCCATGCCTCAGCTGCTGACATTTTCGATGCAACACGGACTTTCCAGCACCCAGGTGAAAGGAAATTACAGGTGGGGAGTTTAGGGTATATAGGGCGTCTATAAGGCTTCCATGAGGTATATAGACCTTCTATAAGGCTCCACCTGAAAATGTCCTAGACCAGGCCCAAAACCACGCGAATTGGAAGCATAAGCACCAGAACCCTGCACCTAAACACAAAAAACAAAAACACACAACGTCTCAACCAAACCCTAAACCCTGAAACCTTCCTAGATATCCATACGCCAAACCCTAAACCCTACCCGAAATATCCCGAAACCTTAAACCCCTACACCCTTCGTAACCTGCCCTAAAGCTCCTTGAAGATCCCCAAACCCCTCAATAACCCACCCTTGTTAGAGTCTGTTAGAGTTCAGTTCTTTATACTGAACCGCTACATAACCCGCCGTGTTAGGGTTTCTTAGGTGAGCCCCTAAAAACCTCCCTTTGTGCGTGTCTTTTTGACTTCAGCCCTAAACCCTAAACCCCTAAACCCTCAACCCTAAACCACTAAACCCTAAACCCCTAAACCCCTAAACCCCTAAACCCCTAAACCCTAAACCCCTAAACCCTAAACCCCAGGCCTCCAATTGGACTTCCGAGCGCCGCTTGGACAAAGCTTCGGCCCGACGTCGCGCCGCGGCTTCCGACTCCTCGCTTTGGGCTGAGGGTTCCTTAAGGACGAAAAGAGTCCTAAAAGGGTTTAGGGTTCATATACCATATAGGGATTCGTAGTAGGGTTTACCCTAAGGGTCCAAAGGACTCATATTTCAAGGCTTTTGGGCCCAAAGACCCTATCATATAAAACTTCTGGGCTATTTTGATGGTAAGGGTTAGTTTTCTAGCTTAATATTTGGGAAAGTTTTTGATTATTAGGTACTTGGACCCTTAGGGTTAGGGTTTAGGGATAACTTTGGTGAAATATAGAGGCCTTATTAATAATTGGAATAGAACTACAAGGTATTTTGTACTATAACTTTAAGAAGGACTCCTCGATGTATGGGCTTTGGGGCTTTAGGGTTTACGGCTTTAGAGGTGTAGGGTGCTTATATTTAGGATTAGGGGCTTAGGCTAGTGGGGTTTAGGGTTTAGGGGTTCAGGGTCTTGAAATTCAGAGTATTGGGGTCTTGGATATAGGGGTTGCGGTTTTAGGGTTTTGAAGTTTGGGGGTTCAGGGTTTTGAGGTTTAGTGGTTTAGGGTTTGGAGGGGGCTGCTCATTCTCTCGTCTTGCCTGCATCCTTTTCGCCAGATAGATCTTGTCTCTCTCCGTCAGGTCCACCTCCACCTGACCCTCTAGCTGGTCCGAGCTGGTAGTGTGCTGATTAGCGGGCGAGATAGCCCCCCCCAAAGGGTGATGCTGGCGCTGCTCTGGGCCAGCTGGTCTAGCGCCATATCTCTGGCACATCTAGTGGGCGCCGCATATTAAAAGGGTGGACGTGGAATGCTCATTGGGTGCTGGTGCCACGGTGCCTCTGGGGAGTGCGTGGGTGGGGTGGGTGGGAGGGGGGGTGGCAGAGGCCTCTGGTCGTGACTCCAGGGCCTGCGGTTGTGAACGCCAAGGGTTTAGGGATTTAGGCAGCGTTTAGGGTCTTGAAGTTTAAAGGTTTAAGGGTTCAGGTTTCGGAGGTTTAGGGTTTATGGATTTGAGTTAATTGTTTAGAGGTTCAGGGGTGTTTGGGGGGTTAGGATGGTTGAGGGTTTGCCCTAAACCCTAAACCCTAAACCCCTAAACCCTAAACCCTAAGGAGGTTTATGTGGTTGAGGATTTTTTGGAGCTTCCATCAAACTCGAGCAAGCATACGCTTCGGAAGCATCTCAGCAGCACGTCAAGCCTTGAGCTGAAAGTTACCAGGACCTCTAAGGGAGTGTCGAAGCCTACTTTGAGGCCGCAGCGAAACAAAGGTGGACCTAGGACCTAGGGATGCCCTGCACTCACGGCTCAAAGGCAATCCTGTTGATACGTCTCCCAGCGTTCCGAATCGACAAGCAGGGGTTTCAAGGGTTTGAGGGATTGAGGATGGCTTCGAGTCTTCGGCGGCTTAAGTTTTAGGGATTCTGGCCAAGGGCTTAGAACTGTGGACACTAGATTTTAGAGCCGAAACCCTAAACCCTAAACCCCCTAAACCCTAAACCCGAACCCCTAAACCCCTAAAGCCTCCAGCCCTAGACCCATTAAAGTTAAAATCCTGCTGGAACCAAGGCATGCGCCCTCCCACCCAGGCCCCTAAAGCCTGAAGGTTCGAGAGCCCAACGGAGGCCAGGGTTCAGGGTTTTAGGGTTTAGGGTTCAGGGTTTGGGGTTTAGGGTTTAAGGGTTTAGGGTTTAGGGTTTAGGGTTTAGGGTTTTGGGTTTAGGGTCAAATTGCCAAAGCTAACAAAAACACCTGAAGCCCATGTGGCTACTATAGGGGCCTTAATGAGTTAGAATAATAGGGTTTGGGGGGGTATGCTATACTATAGTTATTATAAGGAACCCCCAAAAAAGTATAGGCAATTATTTAGCCCCTACGTTACTAGGATTTAGGCTTGGGTTTGGGGCGCAGGCTGTAGGGTCTAGGGCTTAGGGCCATTTAGAGTTTATAAACCCCCTAAACCCTAAACCCTAAACCCCCTAGACCCTAAACCCTGAACCCTAAACCCTAAACCCAAAACCCAGAATTTAGGGTTTAGGGTAGGAAGGGCAAAGGGAAAGAAGCGAGCAACTCGCCTTGAGGGCTTCGGGCAACCCAGAGTCCCGGTCTTCACCAAAGTCCCCGCGTGGGCAAGGTTTATCGGGTTTAAAGTTTATAATGTAGGGGCCTTAATGATTAGAATAGGTTTTAGGGGTACATTATACTATAAGTATGATAAGAAGCCCCAAAAGTAGCATAGGTAATTATTTAGCCCCCCCCCAATGTTAGACAGCAAGGGCGCTACAGTTTCATGTTGGCCACCTCGGCCCTCTCGACCGCTTCCTTCTTCTGTGACCGCCTGCTCGAGCGGGGATGTGGCTCCGCGCTTGAAGGTGTAAAGTTTGGGGGCCGTGGGAAAAGCTGAAACGGGTGGAACTCAAAGGGTCCTATGTACTCATATAACCCTAAGGGTCCAAAAGATCCAATAATAAGGTGCTTGGCTTAAGGCTTGTAGTTATGTAGGTTACTTTTTGGGAGATTATTGGGCACTTGGACCCTTAGGGTAATCATAGCGGAATGAGTGGTTTCTATATTATAGGAATTACCATTCAAAAAACAGTACAGTACGGCCCTTTCGGGAATGAGGTTCAGGGTTTAGGCTGTGCGTCTTTTTGATTTGGTGTGTGGGGTATAGGAGCCCCTGCTTTCCCGGGAAAGCAAAGGTGCTCTGCAACTACAACGGGGAGCTGTGTCTCTGTAATGCAGGGGCCTTAAATAAAATTTTTGGGGTATAGTATGCTATGATTACAAGAAGGAACCCCCAAAAAAGTATTGGAAATTATGCAGGCCCTTATATTAATTACAAGGAGGGGATGACTGAAGGGTGATGGATCATCCCTCGATTTACCCAAAGTTTCCATTGAAGCTCCATTCTTGTAATATATATATATATATATATATATTTTTTTTTTGGATGCTGCAAGGTAGCCCCAAAAAAGGAGCTACAATGGAACCCTAAACCCTAAACCCTATAGGAAGTACACCTTTCAGAAG